GCAAAAAATATACAAAAGGATGGGCAGAACGCAAAAACTTATGGACACACCTTATACGTAAAAGGAAACGTCAACTGGAATAATGCCAGATTGAAGTCCCATAATATGTGCCGGAAGACAACGACTTCACAAAAACTGAAGTATCCTTATCTCTGCTGATCAGATCCTGGTTCATGATCTTCTGCTTCCGCTTTAATAGCTCCTCTTTGAAAACGGGTTGAAGGTCATGAATTTTGGAGTACAACTGCCTTTCAGCGTACAGACATAAAATTTCAGGGTGGATCAGGGCTTTTGATTTCCAAGTCGAGGTTTGCTGATGGTGTTGTATTGGTTACAAAACGGATTTAGGTCTGCTTCTAGCAATAAAGACAGGCAAATTGAAAACTCTTAAATACGTATTAATTAAACGTACAGTTAAATATCTGCAAAAGTAACTCTTAAGTGTATTCAGCAAATTACCGAAACAACGGAGTTAATGTTTTCTGTGGTGTTACAACGAACTTTGAGCGAACTTCCATTACCATGTGTGTAGCTATTGCAGCGGTGTAGCTACAAGTAGGGGCCAGCCGGCTTAGGATTTACTGCTGTAACGTTCGTCCAATGACGTTGCAGCTCGCCGTCATTCCTTAAACATTATACGACTGCCCGGATGTGGAGTTCTTGTGAAGGTTCACTTTTATCCTGACACATGTTGACGGTGATGAAAACGCTATTAGGTGTTGTTAGTTGTTATGGGCTACAGCTGTTAGAAGAAATGCTTTAGATTTTACTGCGTATAAAACCGATATGTCTGTGTGTGTCCTCATGCAAAGTCTTGACTGTTGGTGACATTTGCTGATTTACGGCATTTTATGTGATGGACTGTTTTTTCCGTTGCAGTTTCGAAGGAATAAATGAAAATTGTAGTTCTTCAGTTACTTAACTGTTAAGATCAGTTAGATTCTACTCGATCTGGTCTTTCTTTTTCTTCTTGTGCAATTTTTTGTTTGGATTTAGTGGTTTTTGGAGTAAGAAGTATGGATTTGTAGAATTTTCTGTAAGATTTTTCTTTTTTTCTTAAAGGTTATCAAGAGTGGTCTTTGGTGAAGCATTTGTTGCCAATTCAGTACTTCATTTGTTAACGCTTGTATTTCTTTTTGACACTTTATTTTTGAAGTATCTGAACTTTAGCAGGAAAGGACTGAAGAGTCAAGCATGAATTTCGTTCGGCTTAGCTTCGTGCTGGCAATCACTTTTGGAATACCTGCACTCTGTAGTAAGATATTGGTTTTGGTGGACAACTTGAATATTAGAGAAACACACTCGATCTTCTTCAAGTCGCTTCAAGGTACTTGTTGAAATTCATTGCTACATTCTTTGCGCTAGGTCGGTGTAGGTTAGTACGTGAGTCTTTTCTCTAGTTATGTTCAGTTAAAAAATTTTATTAATTCTACAGCTAGAGGACATACCCTCACGATCAAATCTGCTGACGACCAGACTCTTGCTTTAACCCGGTTTGGTGAACATCTTTATGATCATCTTATTGTTTTCGCCCCAGGTGTTGACGGTTGGTTTAATGCACATTTTCCTGTTACAGCTTTTATTACTGGTTTTGCTCACTTCTAAAAAATGTTGATTTTGAACGGTTTTTAAATTTTTTGCTATAGTTTGCGTAGTATTTTAGAGTTTGGAGGAACTGTTACAGTAAAAGAAATTGCATCCTTTATTGACAATGGTGGGAATGTCTTAGTAGCGGCTGACCTTAGAATAGGTGACGCATTAAGGGATCTTGCTACAGAAAATGGTTTCGAATATGACGAGGACAAAACAGCTGTCATTGATCACTTGAATTATGATACTGTTTTGGTCGGTCGCACTTTCCATCATTGCAATATTTTTCGACAAGAGTCGTAACGAGGTTAAAAGAAATCTTTTACTTATTTTTTTTGTAGGATGAAGGCGACCATACTACTCTGGTTGTTAATCCATCGCAGCTCATGACAGCGCCTATGATTATTGGTAACAAGGCAAAGTTGGGCCCGATTTTATATCGTGGCGGAGCATTGGTTTCTGACCGAAGCAATCAGCTTCGTCTAGAGCTTTTAACAGCAGCCACTAGTGCATATTCATTTAATCCTCACTCATCTATTGATGAGGTAGGATATATTAGATAATTGCAGCATGTTTCGTTAAATAATTGTAGGAAGTGCACTTGATACTTATTCCACAGTGCATACTATACTTAAGCATTGTCAACTGAATTCTCACTCTTTTTCTTCGCTGTCAACCTAAATTGATGGATGCCATAATTGACTTCATTTTGCGTTTACCGGGTTAGCAATTGATTTACCGCGCGAATTTTTAGTATCCTGCAGCAGTTGGAAAATCAACAGTGTTAATTGGAGCTCTCCAAGCAAGAAACAATGCTCGTGTAGTTTTGACTGGTTCTTTGGCTATGTTTAGTGACGCCTTCATTAATGCTGAGGTTAACAAATATGGAGCCAGAGAGAAGTATGTGCTATCGAAGATTCGCTCACTCTATAGTATATCTACTGCGGTGTTCAAGTCTTTTTAAGAATCAGCTGTTTAGGGCTCTCAAAAGTGGCAATCTTCAGCTAATAACGGAAATAAGCAAATGGGTTTTTATGGAGAAAGGAGTTTTACGAGTTAAATCTGTGTCACACCATAAAGTAACTTTTTTGTCGGTATTTTTTTTATAATTTTGGTATCTCCGGAAGCTGTGACAGTCCCAGTTTTTGGTGACTTAAAAAGTATTTTAATCGGAAAATATGTGTAATTTATGGTGTATTTTACATCATTCATTTTAGTAAAACATTCGTTTAATTTGATTAGTTGCCTCTGCTGTTAATATAAATTTCTTTATTATAGGTGGGTGAAGTGAAACCTCCGAGAGAGTACACGATTATGGATAAAGTTGTTTACACGATTAATATTGAAGAACTTCAGGATGGGAAATGGCTCCCATTCAAGGGCAACGATGTTCAGTTGGAGTTTGTGCGTATCGATCCGTTTGTGAGGACCACTTTAAAAAATGATAGTTAGTGTTTTTTAATGCTATAGGAAATTTTTTGAAATTGTTTATTTTTTGTAATCGTAGTTTTACTATACTTCTCTCGTGCTTTTTATTGGCTGTAATACCGTCTACTACAA